ATCTTAAGTAAGAGTGAGTTACCAATAGGAGTAGGTAATTAGGAGTTTGAGTTCAAATTGGAGTTTGAGTTTATTTAGGAATTTTCTTCTGTAATCTCCTATTTAAGGAGCTACGAATTGAAATAGAGCATTCAGTTTTCCAGTCAAGAAAAGAGTAAGGAGAGTTTGGGTGGTCTCTTGGACAAACACCCTCTTAGGAGAGTTCGGGTGGTCTCTTGGACAAATCACCCATTCAATTTCCGTAATCGGGTCTGCAAGCAAGGGAAGGCGCAAGGGGAAACAGGGCTTTCGCACCGTGGACCGACCCGTGACGGGATCCTACGTGCGGGACCATAACAAAAGTCTGTCAAATAGGATTAGATAAAAGAGAGAAAAGAAAGAAAATATATAATAGTTGAGAGAAAGCACATATTATTCATGTCCTAAAATACTAAATAAGAAAGTAACAGAATTAAATTACCTGTAGGAACGAACACATCACACACCAAAATTCCTATTCAATCTGGATGTATGTCATCAATTCCAGCTTGGAGTTGATACTGACTCCTCCAAAGAGCTTTTGTGAATATATCTTCCAACTGTTCTTCTGAATTCACTTTTTATTTTGCTCTCTATTTTCTGAATTAACTGTGACTGAGAAATCATTCCAACTTCTGATCTTAAAAGATAAAAGCACATTTGGTATTTGAAGTGGATATTTCTCCACTTATTTTCTTCTCATGAAGAGATAGTAACTTCTCTGAGGTATTCAGCCTTAGACAGAAAAGTGAGAGCAGAGGAACATAGAGTACTGTTCAGTAAACAGTGGAAGAGGTGATCAATCTGAAGATTCTGATTTCTGAACTATCAACTGTACACCCTATATTATTAATTTAGTATGAAATGAAGTTACAAGATTGCCCTTAAAAAAGGGCAGCCCAGTGCACAAGGCTCCCGCCAATGTGGGGTCTGGGGAGGGACAGATATATGCAGCCTTACCCCTGCACATACAGAGAATCTGTTTTCAACAAGAATGACCTTAAATGACAGTATACAAAACTAAAATTGAATATGTTATGCTACAACACAATGTATACTACTACAGTATATCACTCCTCATCTCCTACTGCTCTATAAAGATGATAATCCATTTCTATAAATTTAGTGGCCTCATGAAACAAAGGGTTAACTGCAATATTAATTGTTCCCTAATTTTAATGATATAGCTTCATACTCTCATGGACTTAGACTCCTTTGCTTTCAATCCTATATCATTTAAGAGAGACTTCAATTGTAGTAACTCAAACTGTATGACCCATTGCTTTATACTCATTGTCTGCACCCTCCTGCTTTTCCAAGAAACAAAGTACACCATCTATTTGCATAAATCTAACTCTTGCTTTAGAGTATTGCTTGACATGAAATATCAAGCTGACTTGTACAATACACCATGACTTTTTTTATAAGCGGTAAAATGATTGTGTTAATAAAGAAAGGAGGGCGAGGAGCCCCCAAACATTATTATCATGATCCTTAAGATATTTCAAGTACAATACACCATGATTATCATGATCCTTAAGATATTTCAAGTACAAAGTACTGCATTCCATTGTGATAACCAAGCAACATGCCTAAACTTCTTACTTCACTATTAGTAAATGTGATGTCAGGACAAAGAATAACCAAGTAAATCAGCCTTCCAACCAATTGATTACTTAGGAAAATTTACCAAGGCATCTTTCATCTGTACATTAATTTTGTCAATGCTGTAAAGATATTAGATGCTTCTTTGAAATGATTTATGTGCTCAAATCTAAATTTGTTGTTCTTTTGCAGGGATTATCTGTCAAAATGGTTGCAGCTGGTGCTGAGCATACAGCTGCAATTACAGAAGATGGCAAACTCTATGGTTGGGGCTGGGGTCGATATGGGAACTTGGGTTTAGGTGACAGAAAAGATCGATTAGTACCTGCTCAAGCTTCTTCTGTTGATGTATGTTGACTAACTCCGTGAAATGGTTTTTTTTTTATCTAGAGTTATTTATACAATCTAAATCATCATCTTGGGTTCTATAACATGGCATTTATTACTTTGCTTCTTGTTAGACTTCTTATGTAAATTGAGATCTGGTTATATTTGTAAACCTTTATATATTTCCTGACTGGTTAAAATAAACCTTATCAAAACAAGACAGGAGTAGGAACACCTTTTATCTTTTTTGGAGGGAGGAATGGAATTAAGGATCACTGGAATCCTTATGCCAATCTTACTGGAAAACAGCTTAATATTGTTTATTTTCATGTGGTATCTTCAGGAAGATGAACATTGATGAGTGATCTGATGAAACCAACTGGATTATTGAGTTGTGAAAGGTTAGACAACAAAAAAAACACCTTAATTTTGTTTCTTTTCAATGTGGCACTTTTGAGAAGAAATTGATGAATGATCCAGTAAGAGAAATCCAAAAAGAAAAAAAAATTGAGTTCTAAAACTAGGATGTCTTACTGTGGAGTACTGTGGACTCTATGGAAGTTTAGTCATACAGTTATGTGATATCTATGTGAAGGGACAAATAGAGGAAATTTTTAAAACAAATCTTTAACTCAGCCTCTTATTCATGAAAGAGTTACGTTATTGGCTGTTTTTGGGGTTGTGGCTCAAAGGAATTTCAGGGGTGTCAGGTGGGAGGAAATTTGCAGAGATTTACTTGCAATCTTAAAGTCTTTGTCATCCCCTTCACAGGAGGACACTGTGGCCTATGGTGAACCTTTTGGCATAGGGTACAGACTGAGATTTTATGGTAGTTCCATGAGCAATCCTGAACCCACATAAACTGGGATCTTCATGTCTAATAATGAAGGAGATATTGTTTGGGCTATATCAATCCAATTGGTGACCTGGATTAAATTTCTACCATGGATGAGGTTATGATATTTTCTTATTGGTCTCCACGATAGCTACATCAACTGAAGGGGATTTTCATATGCAGTCAGATGAGGAATAAGGTAAGTGGTCTTTGGATGCTTTCATACACGTTAAAAAAGATCAGGCTGTTTATGACCTTTTGCCTCATTGTCATGCAATGAATTTATTGGGCAGTTGAAGTCTATTGCTGGAAGTTTAGTTTTGGGAGAGGATGGTAATTGGGATGGAATGCATAGCAAATCTTTATTTCCATAAGAAGCTTATATTTGCAACGGGTTCATTATTTTTTGTTTACATCTATCTTGTATAGTGGTTTGTTGTACATGGGTACTCACCTTAATTCAACAAAGCTTTATGCAAACTATATGGGTTGAATCATGTTCTTCCACCATTCTGCTCAAGTCAGTGCCATGTACATTGTTAAACTATGAGCCCTCAAATCATTTCTAACTACTTGGAGTGCAAAATGATGATTCAGGACCCATGTTCATAAGGATTTGGAAAAAGTCTTATGCCTACTGCTACCCTGATAGAACCCTCTTCTGTCCAGGATTTAGATCAAAAGTGCAAGACAATCTCAGCACTGGTGGATTGAACTTGTATGAACATCCATCAAGTCCATATCAATAGTGAAGTTTTATACATATGGTGTATAGAAGCAGATCGTGAGTAATTTCAGAATGCAGCTGCTGATCTGAGTTTAGGGTACTGTTTCTGGGTGTAGCATAGGGAAAGACTGAAGATCAGCGAAAAGTTGGTTTAGTATTCCTATAGGGAGAAGTAAATGCAGATAAGTACTTTGTGAGGTTGTAGGAATGGGATCATGTTAGGACTGTTTCAGAAGAAATCAGGGTACCCAAGTCAAGGATGAAGGAAACCTGAGGTTGGGATGTGGAGTCTGTTCAAGTGGATGATGGATATAAAAACATCACCATGGTGTCAGAGATGCATACCATGGGAGGGGCATCAGGGAGGTAAATCGGAGGGAGAGGCAGGGAAAAGGATGGAGTTTTAGAGCAAGATCTTCACTGATCTATTTTGCCTACTTTTGGTGGTAGGGCAATGGTGTTGTGCTGTTTATGCTTTGTTTGATTGCTGGTTAGATATGGTGCAGTGTGCAGTATGATTGAGGCCAATCATTCTGGTGTCTGGTAGACTAGGTGAGGATGTGATGATATTTATTGTTTTGGGAGTATCCTTTAGTACTTTGTGAGGTTATAGGAATGGGATCATGTTAGGACTGGGATTTTGGATTTTCTATTTTATCCCATAGGTGCAGATTTTCTATTGTATCTCATTCTGGGATAGCCTGGTTTGTTTACAAGGGTTTTGTCCATCTTGTAGCACATCTCCTTTCCTCCTTTTATATGAGTCTCTATCTGTCACCACACCCAAAGGGGAAAAATCTATGTAAAGTATCATAAACTTACTGATTCTCAGTAATTTGGATGTAAGGCTGGGGTCTTTAAATTGGATCTGTAATTTAAGCTATTGGAAGTATCAATCTACCTAGATAAGTTTCTTAAGAAGTAACAGTCAAATGTAACATGCAAGACTATGAGATCAACCACAAATTTAATTTCGGATAAGTATGTAGTATCAACAAATTTGCCCATATTGTAGTATAAATAGATTGAAAAGCTTAATAAGGAAATTTTATATTTAAATTGAGATTTCACATCAAGTAATTATTGGAAATTAAGGCTATGTTCGGTTTGTATAGGTTTCCCTACCTTTTTCCTTTCTTTTTCCTACTTTTTCCTTCAAACAAAAAATACCCTAAGTATGTTTTTAGTTTCTTATAATATGGTACTCTTTCATTTCTCACATATCACATGTGGTAAAGGAATGCATACATGCATCACTATATGTAAATAAATGATAATGGTGACTAATTTCATGTTCTCCCTATTTAGATGATTAATGTGGAAGTTGTTTCCACTCTATCTGCTTGCTTATTTTACATGTTCTTGTGGAATCATTTTTCTCTGTCTACTCATTTGTAAAATTTTAATTCTATTAGGGTGAGAGGATGGTTCTGGTTGCATGTGGATGGCGGCACACAATATCAGTATCCTCATCTGGGGCTTTATATACTTATGGATGGAGCAAATATGGTCAGCTAGGACATGGAGACTTTGAGGATCACCTTGTTCCTCACCAGTTGGAAGCTCTGCGTAATGATTTAATTTCTCAGGTCTGCTTGTTTCTTACAGTCATCTTATTAGATTTTACATTTCGTCTCATTCACCAGTCACACAGCACTCAGCACACTAGATGTATCTCTCCACCTCAACCACCCTTCTTTAATTCTATGGGCAACATCCACTGGGTTGGACTGTTTCTGTTCAAAATAATAGCCTAGAGACTATTAATGGGACCTACAAATAAACACACTATACTTGTCAAAAAAAAAATACTGGAATAATGAGAAAATTCCTGAATTGTGTAAAAAGGTTTAGTTTTACCTAAATGCATAAAATGGTAGATACATAATTTATAACCCAACACATTATCTCTGTTTTATAAAACTGTTTGATTTGTTAAAAGTAATATATTATTAATTTAAAATAAATTATCAGTTTAAGATACTGTATAAGCTTAAGTATTTATTGCTTGGTGCTATTTGACATGTCTGGTGGTAACTTATTTATTGATTCAATTGTGTTTTGTAGATCATGTTATTAGCTTATTACATTTTTTTTATAAGTGTTATCAGCTTATTGTATTTATAATATAAAGAACATAAGATTATTTCAGAATATAAATAAAAAACCTATGTCAACTGGATTTGCTTATGGATATGGACATTGTGGCATGGGTGTGGATTGGCATGGATATAGACGCACGCATGCTTGCCCAATCCATTAGATTAGCTCACAAGTTGTTGCAGTTTATGTAGTCACAGTTTACTCAACTTTGTTTACCGACTCTTTTCAGATATCAGGTGGTTGGCGACACACTATGGCACTCACATCTGATGGAAAATTATATGGCTGGGGATGGAATAAGGTCCAAACTTCTCATTTCTGTGTCTCTATTATCATTTTTCCTCTTGTACTACAATTACAGAACTTTGCATGATATTTTCTTAAAAGAGTTAAGTTATATATATATATATATATATATATATATATATATATACATGTTGAGATAGATTTAAATGGTTTTGATTTCAGGATTCTTTTTGAATTGGCATTGATTGAATTTTTCTTTATCTACTCTCAATTATTGTGAATGTTTCTGATGGAAAAAGTAATTGTTTATCAAATTTCGAAGGCTCTAGAAGCTAGTTATATAGGCTCACTTACCTCTTCTTGTTAATGATATACAAGCATGTAGTCCTTGCTCAATCTTACAAGCTATTTTATCCATATCTGCAACCTGAAACTGACCTGGATAATATTCATGTATTTATATTTTATAACTTGCAGTCTCCTTTTGTTTCCTCTGATGAGGCTATTGCAGAATTCATAAAGAAACTCTCTGAAACTGAAATAAGAAGAATGAATTCATCATTCTAAAGCATTCAAATGACCTTCAGTCAGGACCACATCAAACTGAGTGTACAGAAAGACTCTAGGAAAGTCTCTTCAAAACATGAGCTTATCCCTTATTTTTGAGGGTCACAACTCCTAATCATGAAGAAACATATAGATATTGAGGTATTCCTACCCTCAACTACACAATCACATCAACCATGGGAGTTGGGACAGGTGGTAGTGCTCTTTTATACCTTGACAATATGAGATCTCTAATTTTAATCAGATTTGCTCTCAGAAAAGGGAAGAAGAATAAAAAAAAGCCAGGAGAAGGCATGAATGGTGTAGGTGTGATTAGGCTTGAACTTTTCCTTGAAATATCTTCCTTTCTTTAAAGATGTCAACACATATGATACTCATATAAAACTTAAATTATTGAAAAATATACCTACAAGATCGAAAGGCAGGTGTCCTACTACTTTCAGATGTGGTGGTGGGCTTTCTATGGTTAGAGAAATTCGAGTGATCAGTTATGAACAGAAATGGAGAAGCAAGTAAGCAGCTTGCTGTCCACCAAAGAATGAGCAGGAAACTAGATTCCGAGAGTGAATTGTTTAAGAAGTGGGGAAAAGGAAAGAAAATTTTTAATAAAAACATACAGAACTGGGGGTGGAGAGAGAGAGAGAGAGAGAGAGAGAGAGAGAGAACCAGACTCAACCATAAGGTTCAGATTCCCTTTAATTGCTTTACAACTAAGAAACTCATATAACCCATAGGGATGCTCAGATATGGACTTTAATTCTTGAACCAACTCTAAATACCCATTACTAACCCTACTAAAACTAACAAACCAAATGCAACTTAGACACCCAAAAATTGAAACATTCTAATCCTGTCAAGATTTAAACCTTGCTAAAATGGACATAAATCATTCAAAATATGTCAGGTTTACATGATCTTGGTGTCATTGGATAGATAACTTAACAGCCTATTTACTGACATCAAGATAACACAAAGCAGACAGGTTTTAACCTCTGAAAAATAGGCTGAAAGAAAAGTGACGTGATGACATCTTTATCTTTTCAAAATTCTAAAACACTCTAATAAAACTCTTTAAATGACTTTGACCCTCTAAGACAGTTAACCGCATTCTGAAGATGCCAATAAAATAGAAAATAACTTTTGAAAATCTTAAAGTAACCATAAGTTGAACCGACCAAAATTATAAAACTGTCACTGGTGCAGAAATCTAAAAAGATCTTTCATGCTTTCTTTCCCTTGTTTCATACCTGCATCAAAAATAAAGAATTTTGTGACTCTATTGTCATACACCAATGGCTTGGCATATATTCTATGAAATCTCATGTCAAGGAAGGTGCTAAAGGAGAAAAAAAAAGATTTTCTTTTAATGGAATGCACCAAACAAATATGTATCGGAAGCCAAATGGATGCTACTTGCTTGTACAGAGTCATAATTATTTTCTCATGTTTTACAATGCAAGAAAAGATATTCTTTATGGTTTGCTCAAAGCTTTTCTTCATTGGCAAGTTGGACATATTTGATTTAGGATATCTTTACCCATTACTGATTCTAAAGTATTGAGTTCAAAAATGTATTGACCATTCTTTTTCTCCCTTACAAATTCTGGTTGGTTGTTTTTAATATTTTCCGTGTATTCTCTTAAACAGTTCGGGCAAGTTGGTGTTGGTGATAATGTTGATCACTGCTCTCCAGTGCAAGTAAAATTTCCAGATGAACAGGTGCATTCCTGTTTTCCTAGCTTCCTAAAGGCATAAAGTGGTTCAAGTAGGCTGTTGGGTTTGAATACTGAGCTCCATGATTATTTTTTGTTTTTTGTTTTTGACTTCTCATTTGAGGTGGATGTGTGGTTTTATTTTCCTTTAATTTTTCATAATTGTTGCTGGGCTTCCTAGCAGAAAGTGGTGCAGATCTCTTGTGGATGGAGGCATACACTAGCTGTTACAGAAAGGCAAAACGTTTTCTCTTGGGGAAGGGGTACAAATGGACAACTTGGACATGGAGATCCTCTTGATAGGTAATTGCTTTTCTCAATATGATTGATGTCTGAAATTGAGTCACTATTTGATCGCTTTTCACTGCAAATACATCTCTCATCTCTTTCGTGGGTAAAATCGTGTCAATCTTGATGCTTCAAATTGAAATAATTTTACCGTTTATGAATGTGGCATTGCTTTATGGTTTTAGAAACAATAAATCAGATCTGAACCAAATCTTTCCACCAGGGGGGAGGTCATGAACCAAATTAACCCTAAGCCCACCTAAATCCTAAATCTTTCTGTTTCACTTTCCCTTTGATCTTAAACCCTAATTGTACCAAATTTTCTAATTTCCCTAATCAATCATATGCCAGTATGGTGCATCTAAAGTATAGCATTTTATATCATTGAGAAGAAGGAATCCTTTGAAACTGAAATTGGGTCACCAAGCACCTTGGTGTATGTCTATCCTCCAAGTTTATTTCCTATCTCTATTTCATTAGACCTAAGAGGCAAGAGTTCTTCATTAGGGTTTTCATGCATTCAAGGTCTTTTTTCCCTCTTGGAAGTCACTCTTCTGCACCTTTTATCTCTTTCATATGATGGTATTCTTGTACTTGTGATTCTGACCAACTACCTACTACAAGGGATACAACAGCATGAGGTAGTGGTTCTCTGATTTTAACTTGAAATTTTGATTTACCTCTCTGTTGTTTGAAAATTAAAATAGAAATGGGCACAGATGCCACCAATTGAGTTTTTGCAAAATTTTATTTGTTTTATGTAAATAATTTGACCTAATGCATTTATTTCTGGAAACTCCAGAAATGTTCCAAAGCTCATAGAGGCTTTGAGTGCTGATGGAACTAGTTGCCAACAAATACCATCCTCAAAAGTTGAGCCTTTATCAGGTATTCTGCAAATCTTCTTTCCCTGTTCAACAAATGAAGTGGTCCTTTCTTATATGCTTTAACTGTGTTGAATTTACTCACCCTTATTGTTCTGTGTGAGCAGGGAAGATTTGGGTTTCACCATCAGAGAGATATGCAATCGTTCCTGATGAAACATCGGATCATTGTAGTATAGTGGTGAGTGGCCCTATCACAAGCAATGGGGTTAAATCCCTGTCAACGGTCGAATTTTATTATGGACCTTGTACATGATAAACGGCTTTTTGCATATACAAATGTTTTACCTTTTCTCAAGTTGAAAATCAAAACTGCAAGACTTATAATTAGCTATTGATGGTGTGGTTTCAAGGGTGCAACTTGTCTTTTTGTGGTGTTTGAATTCAACTACTAATAGTTGCAACTCTGTTATAATAATATTTTACTTCATCAGTTCAATACCTGCACTTGTTTTACAGTAATAATTCTGTAGGATATATTATAATTATCATTGACTGTTAGACCTTTTAAGTGGGTATGACTAGGTTCTGTAAATGCGCTGAGCTATCTCTTTGCAGGGCCAAGGGCAAACAACGGTTCCAATCAAAGGAAATGGGAGTGATGCAAGTGTCCCAGAGAATGATGTCAAACGAATGCGATTTTGAACATCCATACTTCCCCAACTGCCTGGAGTCATCTGTAGATGGGTTTGAACCTCAAGCATATCCCTACACTCTGGACCAATGGACAGCCCATCTTGTTGCTGTTGGATGTTCTTGTCAAATGCAGCACTATAAATCCATACCATCGTTTCACAATGTATTATGTACTAATAGTGTTGTACTTACTCTTTTCTTGGTAAGAATGTACTAGTACTCATTTAACATTTCAGAAGAGGCTTAATTTTTCTAGCCTTTGTTGTCTCATTTAAGTGCTAATAAATAGTGATTTCACGCCTGTTTCTTATGCCCAAAGGCCAAAGAGCTTCACTGATAGAAGTGGTTATGCCCATGACTTCACAATGTCTCATAAGCTTCATCAGTCGTGCAGTAAATTGTATCTTTGCTAGACAAATCCCCACAACTATTACTCCACCCTCCCCAAGGGTTGTTTCCAAGCATGTGTTCGGTGTTCCTTTTAGAAAACTCAATCACCCCATATCCCAAACAAGAATACCCAGGGCTGCAGAATAAAGTTATGAGCCAAGTTCTATCAAATGGAAGCAACACCCAACCTTCATGTCAGGTTGGATTAAGCAAAACATCGATGAATCTGCCCGAGACAATCAAGGAACTGATGGGCGTGAAAGAGTATCTAGAAAATAGGTCATTGCTCGACTTTCTGTCTCATTTGATTTTAATCTCCAATACTAAGTCATACTTGTATGATAATGCCTATACTAAGATCCTATGGTTGCTTGGACAATTGGGTTGAGGCGTTTGATTGTTGAATCTCAACAAGATATACAACTAATACCTTAACAAAAAGTGCTGATGATGATCAAATTGCAAATGAAAGCAATGCTGATTAAATTGTAATTGTATCTTGGTACTCCTTCCCTCTGATTAATGCCCGTATATGCACGCACACACACACACAGAGTGCTACTGATTATTTAAGCAAAGAAATTACCAAATTTTTCCTATTTAAACATTGTCGAGAAAAAATATGTACAAGGCTGAATGCAGAAATGCATCAGAGGGAAGAATATTACAATCATATGACTCATCTCTAGTAGACTAGTACTGTCGTTCTCCAAGAATACGATATGAATCCACTACTGCTAAATGTCTCTCTGCAACTAATTCAAAAACCCTTCTGAGAAAAGCTTGATATCTTGGAATCAGAATAAGTAGATCCATCATTTTGGAAGTGAATACTCAAGTATAGTTGAAGTGGCTAGCAAAAGAAAACACTCAACGTTGAATCTCAATATGTACAGAATGCTAATTTCAGTCACCTGGAATGAGCGGTTGCCATGAACTTAAGCGTCTGGTCTTATCCCTTCGCAAATAAAAAAATAATAATAATGAATTTCACAAGAATTCCTTGTCTATTTAATTACCTGAGCATGTCCCCTGAGTTGAGCACAGGGCCACTCAGGCAGGGTGATATACTGAAAGCGTTTCGATCTGTGAAAACAGAGGGATGGCCCAGGGGCAACGGCCTATCTGGAATTGGAGGAACCTCAATGTCTCCTTCCAACATCCTGAGTGCTTCCAAAATTGTAGGCCTCAGAGCTACCATAACATGAGCACACAGAATTCCAACTAACACAAACCTCTCCATGATCCCCTTGGGGTAGGAATTGGTAGAGTCCCCATCTTTCAGCATCCATGGATCCAGAGCTTCTTCTACCCTTCCTGCTTTCACCAGTGTCCAAGCCCAGTCAGTAATCAGGAATGCTCTTGGTGATCCTGAAGATGTGTCAAGTGCTCTCCTCCCACACATTATCTCTAGAATCACCACCCCAAAGCTGTAAACATCACTCTTCTCAGTCAGCTGTCCATAGAGAGCATACTCAGGAGCCAGATAGCCATGTGTTCCAGCAACTCTGGTGGTGAGATGAGACTCCCCTTCTCTGCTCTGCCTGACCAGTCCAAAGTCTGCCACCCTTGCTCTCATATCTGCATCCAACAGTATGTTGGTGGCCTTGATGTCTCTGTGATATATTGCAGGCTTCACCCCATAGTGCAGGTAGGCAAGCCCCTTGGCCACATCCAAGATTATGCTCTTTCTCTGAGGCCAACTGAGAGATTGCCGGCTACTATTGCTATGATCACTGAATGGGTGGAAGAGATGATCATCAAGGTTCCCGTTGGGCATGAATTCATACACAAGATACCTCTGTTTTCCTCTCTCTTCATCGGTCTCATCAGCCACACAGCAGCCTCTGAGGGGGACCAGATTCCGGTGCTTCAAATTGCTAATGATGTCAACTTCATTGCAGAACTCTGCATCCCCTTGAAAATCTGATTCTATGATCTTCTTCACAGCAACAGGAGTTCCATCTGATAAGGTCCCCTTGTAAACAACACCGAATCCACCACGTCCAATCATATTCTTCTGTGAGAAATTATCTGTAGCCTTCTCAAGCTCCCCGATCTTGAACCAGATTGACACAGTGTTGGGTCGCAGCCGGCGCTTGGAGCTGGTCTCCTCCAAATTAGCCGCGCTCCTCCTCCACCGCTTGAACCAGAGATACAGACCCAGAAAGCAAGACATAAGGAAAGCAGCAGTTCCAGCACCAGTCAAGGCGAAAACAAGAGCCGAGTGTTTCTTGCTATCTGTAGATATGGCCAGTGGCAGCCCAAATATACAGGCAGCTCGCGTGCTCTCGGGTCCATACTCATTCACAAAGGCAGCAGCATAGAGAATTGTGAAATAGAAGCATTCAACGGAATGGGTTTTATTGCCATCGATGGAAACTAGTCTGGCCTGAACTTTGAACCCAGCAGCGACGCAGGCATCGCAGGCGGTGCCGATGCTGAGATCGGATTGACACGCCGTGTCGAGTGCAGTGGAGGGCCCAAGCTTGCCGAGCCAGTCTTGTTTAGTATTAATACCGGCACAGAGTTGGTGGCTTGCAACGAACTGGCTCGGGCTGAAGCAGACTGAGGCGAGATCAGAAGGGAGAGACAGAGAATCCAGCTTGGACTGGAAGTCGGATATGCAGGCAGAGGAAGTGGGGATGTCGGGGAGCTGGAAGAGGGAGGTCTCCTTGAGGCGTACAGCCAGAGCGATGCCGAAGAGGCTGAGCAGAGTCTGGCAGCAGTTGGTGTTGTTCCTTGGGAAGCTCGAGCACGATGAGGAGTCCCATGGGACTCTTTCCACATAGCCCATGTCCATGGGGCATGTAGAGGTGTTGCTGGCGGCTGAGACTGCACTGTAATTAGCTGCAGAGCACAGAAGCACCATTGTTAGAAGCAACAGTTCAAACCCCATTTCTCTCTCTCTCTGTAATTTCTGTGAACACCTGATTATCTGTCTGGTTTGAGAATGGATCAAGAAGAGGGAGAGAGAGAAAGAGAGAGACAGAGAGGAGGAGATAAGATGGTTGGAGAGTTGTTACAGATATCATACCAGAGAGAGAATTTAAAAATTACAAATTGATATCAGCTCTTTCAAATTACGTCATAAAGAATGCAAAATTAAAGAGAGCAAGAGGGAAAACTTGTGGACAATAGCGTGGAGCATCGATGAACTGCATGTGGGTCAACGACTACTGAGGAGAAAAACAAAATAGCTTTCTTACTTTATCATTTCCTCGTCGGTTCCTTCTTGTTTCTGGGTGGCACCATGTCCCACTGAAACAGTGGCACCGCACAGAAGAGAAGGCAAAATCCTCGTCTGGGCCAGGGCCCAGAGGACGTCATAGCCTGTTCTGGGCCTTAATTTTCCATGTGGCCCATCTTCAGACGATTGGGCTAGCAGCAATAGGCCCCACCATAGAGATTTTATAGGCTGAAAATCTGGTTTTTTTTTTGTGGGATGGGCTGAAAATATAGAAGGTTGAAAGTAGGAACATGGCAAAGACTGTTTTGGCAGGATTTAAGAAGAAGATGAAGAAAAGCAGAGAGAGAGCTCATGACAAGGATATTAGATGGTTAAAAGTCAATCTGATCAAGTTGATTGTATGAGTAGGAACTTTTGTAAATGGGACCCATGAAATAGTGGGTCCAGGTCTTGATCCTCTTTAGCACCAAATATGCTATGTGATTAAATGTATGATTACTTTGGTTAAACAATTAAAATATATATTAGTTTATAGTTGCTCTCTATTAAAACCCCTAATTACTGTAGGCGACCCAATTAATTGACTAGGACTTAATTCAGTATAGTTGTGTATGTGAGAGAGAGAGAGACTCTTTCACTATCAGAGCATGAATTTAATTCATGCCAGGGAGGTTCCGCGAATGATCAACCTTTGAACTAACAAGGCAGTAGGCCAGCAGCTGAGCTGATTCAAGAGGATCCATTGTCTGTTGGTGGAGGTGCAAATTTCATTTGCACTTGTGTAAATGCATTGGAGTGCAAACAGGCTGAGTGTAAATTTTGGCTTAAATTTGCTTCAGATTTAACATTGTCCTATTTGTTTGTAATGTAAAATAAGAAGTAAAATGATGTGGTTTAGAATGGAGGTAGGAGGAGATTATTTGTTTTGGAGTGAGATAGGAGGCAAGATGATTTGGTCTCCACTATGAGAGAGAGAAAATTGAGGTAAGAAAAAGGTGATGTAATTATGTAAATCTTGCATCAATTTTTGAAATGCAAAATTTGCACTATTTATACATATCTATTGACCGGCCCCATATTACATATACAGGACTACTATTAATAGACCATTTAGAACTGTTAATACCTTACTCCAAAGGTTTTTATGATACCAAAAATACCCCACAGGTTCTATTATATAAACAGTAGCAACATGTTTATATAATACATAACAGTCCACCCACTTGTCTATGGCCACTCTTCCCCGGTTTTTTTTGGATAAATTACAGATAGGTACCCTATACTTTGAGGGTAGTGACAGATAGCTATCATGAATTTTTAATTGCAATACTTGAGTACCTTAAACTTTCAAAAATAGATATTTGGGTCCATCCGTTAGTAATTGTCAGTTAAACATTGCATAATATCAAAAGTATCATTTTTGTGTATTTTTTAGATCATTCTACAGAATAAAATCATCATTAGAGAATGCCGTCATTGGAAAAATATTTGAATTATCTGTTTGCTGTCCATGTGAGAATGTCACCATGGGGAATCGTTTGGTTACCTAAGAATGACCTCAGAAATACATGATGATATTTGACACTATGTAATGTTTAACTGATGGAATAGTAAGGGATGGACCTATGTGTCTATTTTTGAAAGTCCAAGGTACTCCACTATTGCAATTGAAAGTTCAGGGTACTTATCTGTCACTACACCCAAAGTACATGGTACCTATTTGTAATTTACCCTTCTTTTTTTCGTCTAATTACTATTTTTAGTTAACAAACAACCACACAAGTTAAGTAGAAAAAAAATGTTTCTTTTTTCCCTCTAGCACTTGTTTCCATGTGCCGCCCTATTATCTAATTTGAATTATTGTTTGTGTAGGTAGTTTAACTATAGTGCCATTTAGAAACAAACTCAACTAGAGTTGGGATCTCCTGCCAACAAACTCAACTAGACACATTCTAACACCCTACCAATTTGATCTGACACATACATCTCACTATGAAATTGGGGTCCACCATAAAAGTGGAACCTATCATGCATGAAATGTGTGGTGTTGGAATGTATTTTGTTGGCAGTTGATAACATGTTCCAACCTTCTACCAACTTGATTGGAACGTGTTGTATTGGCAGGTGATCGGGACTTCTAGACTCACTCAACTAAGAGCATGTGTGAAGTGTCTCCTTCACCATATCAAACTAGCCTATTTGATTGTGGTCCCATAAAAATACGTAGGACCCACAACCATTTAATTTTGGGAGAATAACTGATCAGTCCAGTTCAGAATTTTGTAGCCCCACCATACAGGGAGGATGAATCCTGACTGTGGATTGATGTCAAATCCACGGGCAGGATGCAGTTTATGGGGGGCAGCTACTAGTAGACTATGCATGGGGGCTGTATTTCAGAATTTTGCATTGTGCTGCAGTGTACTTAACCCTTCAATTTTTCATTGTGGGCCCTATGTAATTTTTCACTGGTGTGGGCATTACCATTGGTTCCACAGCCCACTAAACAGCCACCCAAGACCCCCCAGCTCTTTGACAGTCAAAATTACCCTTTGACTGTTTATTGAAATTTCAAAACATGCCATTGACTTTTCATCCTCCTATCCAAGGAGTAGAGACGGTGACAGGACCCTTTATGCAATGGGGCCTATGAATTTATTACTAGCATGAAACATTATCATTGGTTCTATAGCCCACTGAACAACCATCGCATTCAGCTAAGTTCAATTCCCAACTCACTCGACAACAAACAATTAGTCCAAAAATATTTTGTAACCGCCAACTGTAGCTTGGACCTAAAATTCGTCGTTGTGCTGAAAGATATTCCCGTTTTGAAATATTGAATAATCCAGAAAATCATAATTTTTTGATGAATTTTATAAAATTATAAAATTATTACTAATATCAATAATATTAAATCTATTATAATTATTATTTTTATGTTTTTAATAAAATTTTGAAAGTTATTGTATAATTTTTTATAATATTTAAACAATATTTAGTTTTTTAATTCAAACTCTCTTTATATAGATATAGATAAAAAGTGGAGGAGAGGATAAATAAGAATTAGAGATAATTTAGGAGATGAATAAGAATTAATAGCTTAGGAGAGGATATTATTTAGGGATTCCAGATCTCCTGCCCACGAGAACCCTGCCCACGCCTACCCACAATACACTATCCCCCGTCTCCCCCTACATAATACTATGCAGAGGATGAGATGTTCTCCATGTGTGGCTGTGATTAATGTGGGTAGGAGATCCGGACTCTTATTTAGGTTATTGTGTGTGTGTGTGTGTGTGTGAGAGAGAGAGAGAGAGAGAGAGATATTTTAGATAATTTTGTATAGAGAATGAAAGAATCTCATTAGTTGTTTCAAAAATGATATAGAATATAAAAAATAAAAAATTCAAAAAAAGGAGAAAATTTTTAGACTATTGTGTTTTAGTATATATATAGATGTATATATAATTTAAAAAATTATTTATAATATAAAATATGGTTTTATATATTATACTATATAAATTTATATATAATAAATTCAATATTTCATATTTATAATAATTGATTAGATATAATTTAAAAAGTAATTTAATTTTTAGTTTTTTAAATTTATTCATTTAATTTAAAAATATAGGGTGGAGTTAGTTTAAATCCAAATCTAATCCAAGTCTAAAAGGATATGAATCCAATATGAAATTCCTTAATTCAATCTAATTTGAATTTATGATTTCATTAATAGGACCAGATTCGGATGTGCATTGAATCTGACTCAATTATAGCCCTACTTCCATCTAGGTCTATAAACGGTATTCGAAAATCCAAATTCGAATCCAAGATTTGGCATAACCGAATCGAATTTGGATAATTCGAATCGGATATTTGGTTGAATTCGAATACCATGTTTTTACCGATTAAATTATCGGATCGAATTCGGATATGCATTGATCCGATTCGATAAATATCTGAACCGATTATATATATATATATATATATATATATATATATAAAGATTAAAAAAGTAAAAATACAATTTCAGAATTGAGAAATGAGGCATTCGAAGTATCCACTCTCCATTTCCTTTCAAGTTTCAACTTTCAAACCCTAACCCTAATCCTCCCTTCCTCGTGACGCCATCATCACCCGGGCAACCACCATCACCAGCCACCACCCCTCATCCTCCGACCTCCATGGCTCTGCCCCTCTGCCTAGCAGGGTTTCAAAGCACACAACCCACAACAACATAAATAGAGGGAGAGAAAGATGGGAAAACAGAGAGAGAGAGAGAGAGAGATAGGAGATGGAGGAGGAGGAGGAGACTAAATCGTGGGAATTATGCAATGAGGTTATTGCATGGTTTTCAAAATCAGACCAAACCAAATGATCGAACTAGAAAAACTAAGAACTGGTCAAGTATCTAGTTCCGTTTCACCCAAAATCGTTTTTTGGTCAAAAACAATTGATTTGGTCAATGACCCACTGACCCGAGGAGTCAAACCGACAACTCGGACACTGGTTTTTGGTTGCTTTTTTTTTAAGTTGGAACAGGTCATCTGCTTGAACCAGTGTTAAAAATCTTGGGTTATTGTGCGATTCCATTTAATGCTCACACAACGCACGACTATAGACCAGCGTTATAGATAGATATATAGATGATCTCCTTATAATATTCTGATTTGAATTTGAGCAATAACAATATCATTTACATCTGCACATAGAAAATTAGCATAGGATAGCTTCCCCAAATATATGTACCCCATTATCCCAAAAAAGGAAGATTTTTAAGTTACAATATATACATTCTTCAACCAACTAGAACTAAGGCTGTCAATGGGTCAGGTTTACTTGTAGATTCAAACTGACCGAATTGACAATGTTGATTCTGAGACTTTGTTCCAATTAATAAATGGGCTGGGGTAAGTTCTTGTTGTTTTGAAACAATTATATAATTAATAATATATAGAGATTTCTTGGTTTTTTAAAGTTTTGTTATATTTATAT